ATGAGTGGACTTCAACTCCCAGAATGCTGGCTGGGGGATTCTGGGAGTTGAAGTCCACTCATTTTAAAGTGGCCAAGTTTGGACAACACTGCTCTAGGTAAAAAGGTGGAGAAAGGCTGCTCTAAACAATTGATATGCCCACATATGTCCAGACATGATTCCATATTCCAGTCTGATTTTCCTATGACTCAGTTTTGCTGTACCAAGCACCTGGAAGATAACTTTTCAAGCCATCTCAGGCAGTAATTTGCTTGAATTTCTCTCCTTGGAAGCTATTCCTAGCCCACTTCCAAATCTTTTGTTGTATAAATCTTCCAGACCTGGGGTGCAAAATTGGGCTGGCCACTAGAGGGCAGATAAAAGATGCAGGAATCATTATCTCTTTGTTGCCATCTAGTGGTGATCATTGGTTTTGCAACCCAGATCCGCAACTCTCAAATCACCAGCAAAGATTTGGTAGTATTCAGATTCAGTTCATTCAGAGTGGTCCCACTTGATTAAAATATCACCTGAACTTTTATAAATCATGATTTGATTCTGGGATGTAGCTGCTTCCAATGCATTTTCCTACTTATAATAGAAAAAAATAAGACAGAAAAGATCAATAAGTGGGTTAAAACCAGCCCCAGGAATGATAGTTATTCAAGCTATTATCTTCATACCATTATAATCTGAACTGTTTCTGATACAAATTTAGAACCTAATAAAACAGATAATACAGGACAAGAGAGGGTGGATTTTTAAACCCATAGGCCCAGTCTGCCTGTGTATCTTTGACCAGCTTTTAAAAGTGAGTGACAGAAACAGCCTTGACTTCCCTTCTTGACTCATTGCAATTATCCAACAGGAAGAACATGCATATGCTTGCAATTAAAAGCATATGTTACTAGGCATACATCAAGTGATTTTCATTCAGCAAGTGAGACAGAGTTTATCTCAAGTTGTTGAAGTTATTATTATTCAGTTTAGAGCAGTGTTTCTCAACCTTGGCAACTTTTAAGACCTGTGGACTTCAACTCTGAGAATTCCCCAGCCAGCAAAGGTTGGCTGGGGAATTCTGAATAATCACAATTATGTTGGCCATTACAGACAATGCTAAGATTGCACCAGGAATGGAGAAGATTGTATTGCTCATGTGTATAAAACAAGTTCATACATTCACAGAACAGGACAGCTTGCAGAAGCTTCAAGATTTACAGGTGGTTTTGTTTTGTTTTGAATCACAAATACTTAAATAAGACAAGGAAGATATTCTAAAACAACCTAATAAAGATTGACTGTGCTTAGCAGCCATGAAATGCCAATTGCAGGGAGGAAGAAAAGTAATAGGAGGAACAGTGTACAGAAGGAATGCATTCTATGCTCCCAAATTTTGTTACAGCTCCTATCTGTGGTCATCTAATAATCAAATGAAAAGAATAATTGAAAACATATCTCACATCCATGGAATAATACAAACATATTGTTCCCATAAGTTCCTTTGGAACAAAAAGCAAAAACTGTCGTGAAACCTTTGTCTATCTTCATGGTAGAAGCAGTGTGTGTGTGTGTGTGTTTGTGTGTAAGTGGTAGATCCCTGAATCTATGGAATAGACTATAGGAGGGAAGCACATTTCTGAATACTTCCCTGTATGTTAAAATCAAAGCAAATTTGTTTTCAACAAATAGAAAAACTAACACTGTAGGGATCATGACCTGAGTTAGAATCCTTTTCATGATGTTTTAAGATTCTATGTAGAAGACTATTCAAAACTGACATTTGCACATTTAAATGTATAGGTGATATTACCACTTCTTTTGCCTTTGATACCTGAAATGCAGACACATTATTGATTTCATCATAAGAAAACATATATCTCTTAATACTTCATTGTGTGAAGGGACTAGACTGTCATGGAAGGAATCCTAAAGTTGGAACAGGCCTTACAATTTACCTGGCCCAACTTCCTACTAGATACAGGAAATTCAGAGTTTTATCAGCCCTAACTGGTGGATGGCTAATCTCTGCTGGAAGACCTCCAATTATCTTCACCAAGTAACTGATTCTACTCTTGAATCAACAAGAAATTTGTCCCAGTGTTCAATTAAAATCTCCTGTAAATTAAGCCTATTAGATTTGGACCTGCCCTCTAAGGCAAGGGTAATGTCTGTCACATTACCTCTCTTCATATGGTGAGACCTGAATCTGATCTCCTGCTTCTGAGCCCTATGGATCCCATTGTCAGAGACAAATGTGTCTGACAGCATCTCCCAAATGAGGTGGGAGGAGGAATGGTTCCCAAATGCAGTGACCAGGATGGATTGCTCTTCATCTTGCCATTTTGAGAACGTGTGTGCAAAATCAGAATATCAATAAATAAAAATTAAGCTCTAAACTGGACCATTTTGAAAGTGGTGAATTTGCTGTGAATGTTCTGTAAGATGATTTTGCTGCATCAGCTTTAACTTGGTATTGTTTGAATATTGTTGCTTTGCCAACAATTCAAAATGCAATTCATTATGTATGTACAGCTACGCATACCAAGTGTGCAGAACAATAGCATTTTGGTAGAAAAAACTGGCTTCTTAGTTTTGCTCAAAGAGATGTTTTTAAATGTGTCCCCAATTTATCTTATTATCAGCAAGCATGTAATAGTATCTGTTAACAAATTTGTCCCTGTTGGCTTTAAATATTCTTGTTCTTTTCAATGGTTGTGAAGTTATACTTTTTAATGTGTACAGATTTTTAAGAAGGTTGGAATGAATTTGTGTGACTGCCTGCTTTTTGCTTGTATTTATACAATTATATATTGAAGTAGTATAAAAGAAAATGCTATCTCAAAATATTTGAATTGGTTGCT